TGCACCAGCACTCTCAGGGGATGCACATACATCCTTGTACACCTGCTATGTGTTGCCACTGGGATGAAGACTGAAAGGAGCATTCTAGATGACGGTTTTTAAGAAGGGCCCCTGGGAGATGGTAGGAGAAACCTGTTGGCCAGTACATGACTGGGATCATAGGATGAGGGCTGGGACAAGAGATCTACCTGGAGAAAAGCTTAGAAACCATGATAAGACTGGTAGAAAAGATGCAAGATGAAATGCCTCTGTATTAATGTAAGAAGTCTGAGGAAAAAATCAGGATGAACAGAGTCCTAGTTTATAAAGAAAATAATGACTTAATTGGAATTGCAAAAAACTTGAAGGGATAGCTCTCACTATTGGAATATCAACACTGATGGGCATATTTTTTTTCAGAAACATGCAGGGGGCTGTTACAGGATTTGCTGTCTAAAGGCAGGGGTGGCACCTCCTGGTGGCTGCTCTAATCCCATTTATTCTTTTCTCTGGTTGATTCAGGTACTTGTCTGCCTTGTCTTTGTTACCTAATCACCGCCCCTATGTTCAGGCCTCTCATTCTGTCTCAGACTTTGAGGGTCCTCCATGAAGTACAGCACCTTGCTTCCCGGCAACCTCATTGTCTCCTTCTGCCCCGTCAGCCACAACCTATAAGCCTCCAGTTCCAAATGCAATGAGCAAAGCCTAGACGCAACTAATTACAGCTGGGGATGAGTCTTGCCAAGCCTTCTGTGGACTTTCACTCAGTCCCACTGTCTTCTACCTGCTGTGGCCTTCCCGGGCCTAATCACAGTTCCCTTAGTACTGGTACTGCTTCTTAGCTTTGTATAAGAAGTTCCTTTGGCTTATAGCCTGGGCCAGGCTCCAGCTCCTAGCACTACTTCCCTCAGCTCCCAGCAAGGAGCTCCTGCCTCTAGCTCTGTGCAGATCAACCTGACCCCTCTGCCTCTGGTACAGGGCTTATGTCTTCACAGCCTGCCTCTTCCAATGTGTCAGAAACTTAAACGCGCAATCCTCACTTTCTCACTGTCTCAGTAACAGGACAGGGTTCCCTGTTACAGGGGCATTGCACTGTATGTCAAGAATGTATAGATTTGCTCTAATGTCCAAAAGGAAGAGTAGTAGATCTATTGAGTGTATCTAGGTGTTATGGTGCCAGTCTACAACAGGCTATCAAATCAGGAAGGGGAGGTGGATGAGCCATTATTTTAGTATGTAACAGGAATATCTAAAATGTAAAATGCTGTCATCCTTTTACAGCTCAGCTGGTAAAGTAGGCTGTAGACTCAATCTTTGTGGCAATGCTCAGGTTGCTGGTTTGATTGTGGCATGAAGGAACAATTTTGGGGGTTGGACTAGATGACCCTTGCGGGTTCTTTGTCACCCAATGATTCTATGAGAGGCAATGCTATTTATGTCTGTTGCCCTTCTAGGGTTGGTATTAGAAGAAAAGTAAAAGATAGTTGAGAAATGGTTTTCCCATTCCAGACGATTGTTCAAGATTCCAAACCTTTTTTTGTCCCAAAGCTTGATCATAAGTTGATCTCAAAACATGCTAACCAACCAATTATAGTAAATAGGAATTTCTGATTAAAGTAATAAAACACTTTTATTTGATAATTTCCACTTCAGTTTTGACCCTTTCATTTTAACTTGTAGGGTTAGTTAACTAAAAATTCAAAATAATTAAAACAAGAAATGAAACTTTTGTTTTGAAAATGTTAAAATGGCACATTTGAGCAACTTCTAAATGTTAAAAAAAAGCCCCCCCCAGAACCAAAACTGGATTAGGAGGTTTGTAAAAACCACCTATATCATGCAAACATTTTCACTCTTGGTAAACTGACATTTTCTGAAGAAAGCACATTTTATCAGAAAATCCCTGATTTGCATATATAGCTTTATATATGAATACACTGTTGTACAAAGGAAACAGGAAGAGATTATACATTAATTTTTATATCATGAGTTAATTATTTCCTTTTAGAATCCCAGATCATTAAAAATGTACTTATTTTCCAGCCATTTTGTCCCAGAACTGCATTATGGACCTGAACTTGTGAAACAGGGAACATTTCAAGACTCCAGGATTGTAAATAGATTTCTTTTTCAATGATACTTCTGTAGTATTAATACAGAGGATGAGAGTGACTGGTGAAGTGATTCAGTCTTCTAGCTCCTTTGGTCCATGGAAACACTGAATGCTGATTTTTATTTTTTTTTTTTTTTTACTCAAAATAATCCTGGATGTAATAATCTCATTGTCAAACCAAAGGTGTGTTGTTGCAGTTTGTAAAACTACATAGAGAAATATGAATGTGCAGCACTAGGAATAGAGTTCTAAACCACTGGATTTCTTCTGTGAGCTGAATGATTAGTTTCAGTGGTCAACCAAGAGGAGATGCATGAGGTTTGATTCCTTCTCTTTCACAAGCAAGCATGCTATGCCATATATTTCCCTATGGGTATTCCAAAGCATCTATCCTTGGTAGCACTCCCGATTTACAAGGAAGTACAGACAATGTTTTGTATATGTTAATGGAATGGATATTTTGCCCAGGTCTGTCTATACCAAGCACTGGCTCCTATTAAATGTTGAACATCGGTAGTGGGCATCCTACCCTGGCAACAGGCTGCTATATAAAGATGTAATAAACTCTGTCTAAAATTGGAAAATGCAGGATAATGTTTTTTGTCTAAGTTGTCTGCGAATCAGACGTACACACAGCTGTCTCTGATACTTATAGGATGGAAGACCAGACCAAGCCATACTTACCACAGGTATACTTGCCATAACATCATTTAACCAAGTCCTTTTGCTCTCAACCTAAGAGCCAGGTCCTATCATAAGATTAAACATGAATCCTCCTCCTCCATTACTTGGTGAATTCTTTCACTAGAGAACAGGAGATAGTTTGCTGTCAACAGCTTGTCCTCTGTGCTTCCTCAGTGGCATAAGGGGTAAGATGTACTGCAGGCAGTTCAAGGAGGATGCTAGAGATGGAGACACGGTGGAAACAAGGAGGAAATGGGTAGGTAACAGAATTTGTATGATATGCAAAAGAGAGAGATGTTCAATGGGAGAAAAACTACAGGTGATGTATGAACCAGATGTGTGGAATCAAGACATGAAATGAGAAACAGGCACGTAGTACACACACAAAATATGAACCAGATGGGTGAAGCATTAAGCAAATATTCAACATAAAATAGTAGGATTATGAACCAGAACTAGCCCATAAACCAGAGCTGATCTACAAAGAGAAGAACAGCAAGATATGCAAGGTACAGATGAGACCTGAACCAAAGACCAAATGATTGTGCAGCAAATGTGGAACACATGAATTAGATAACCTATCCTTCAGAGAGACAATGCCTGGACACAATTGACTGTATGCAAAAACAGGCATAGTATGGTAAGAGTGGAAAGCTAGTGCTTGGTTTGGAGATGCTGTGAAAGTAGCATGAGATGAACACCTTAGATACCCAAAGAAGGGATTCATGAAGCTGGGTGATGATGGGTGTAATATATCATCAATGCTTCAAGAAGGAAGATGACTGAAAGAGCAGATCCATCAAGAAGGAAAATGACTGATAGAGCAAAGAGCCATGTATGAAGCAGAGAAAGAATGAGTGCAACAGGCATCTAGATGATGCAAAACCCACCTAGATCGTGTATGGAGCAGCTGCATTATTTATTCAGTTTATGGACAGGCCCAGAGTTAATGTGTTTGGATACAATCACTGGAAGGCTGTTGTTTGAACCAGGTTGATTAGAATAAGTAGGCTGCATAGATCCTAGTTTTCAGCTACTGAGAGTTATCTTCAAAGCCATAGGGAGTAGGTAGCACAAATGTGCAGGAGAAAGTATGGCACTGAAATCTGATGCCTGAAGCAGAGAGGTGATTCAAAATACAATGCAGAGAGAAACTCAGTTTTTGCTATCCATTTAGTGATCTAAATTGACATCACACACTTAAAGATCTCCTTCTGCATGGCAGTCAAGTTATGATTCAAGTGAGCTGAAAGGCACTTGCTTCCTTGCAAGTGGCACATAGAAAGTATGAGGCACACCCAAGCTTATTAATTTTGCATGGTTTGTTTTCAACAAATGGCTTAAGATGAATGGGTCAGATCTTCAACTGGCAGAATTGTGGAGTTGCTCTGATTTACATAAGATTAAGATCTGCTCCATCGTAACACCAGTTTTTGTCTCTCGCACTTTGTTCCCCCCCTCCGCCCCCTTCCCCTTCTACCTCCAAGTAAGGTACTAGTTTGACAAACTAGAGAAGACAGAGGGAGGGCAGGCACTATACAGTTAGTCCTGTGCATGGCTTTGCTAGTGCACTGCTTTCCTGAAGAACAGCTTGAGATGCAATGTCAGCAGTAAAGAGGGGATATAACAGTCAGACAGTTAGTGAAACAAGACTAGGAAATGCATTCCCTTATACATTGCCAAGCAGGTTACACGGTTAACATAAAAAGGACAAGAAAGCTCTATATTCCCTTCCATTATATCCAAGCTCCTTTTTCTAGCTGATAAGATACAGTATTTCTTGGAGAAATGCCAGCTATTAGAACGCATAGTGAAAATGATCTTGCTAAATCAGCAAAAAATGCTTAATGAGGTTGAAAATGCAACGTAAAAATGCGTTCATTGCATTAGTGCTTTCAGTGGCTGAGAGGGGGAATAAAACCCCAGCACTACATAGTCTCATACTTTGTGCATCATGGACTTCTCCTTTCCCTATTTGCATAGGTTTTCCCAACTCAGTTCATGCAGTAGTTACATTTCTTCTGTCTTTCCCTGCTGTGAATGAATATATGATAATAACACAGAGGGCCACAGGTGAATCCTTTGCACTTTGTAGCAATATCTCCCTTCCCTCCAGCAAATTAACAAAAGCCTTGTTTCAATATATTTTTGGAGGAGGGGAAATAAAAAAATGACAGTCAAAGAATGAAAAGCTTGAAAGGAGATTCTTGCTTTTGTACGTTACCTGGTGAGCACTGAGCGATGGTTACAGGCTGCAGCTTGTTGCTCCCAGCGCCGTGTGCTTAGAAACATGCCTGTGCATCCTTAGTTTGGACTCTTCCCTCCCTACAAATGGAAGGGAGGAGGGGAAGGAATTGATCTGAGATGCACGCCAAAAATAAAAGCTGCCCAACGGCTCCTGACCTACCAGCTTTCTCTGTTCTTACAGGCTCATAGCAAAAGAAGCTGGTAAAGCCATCAGCCCCACTGGAGGGCATGCACTATGCTGCAGGGGATCCCTGCCAAGGGGAGTTGGATGGGAGGGAGGGGATGGGGGAAGTAAAGCCTGATGGCATGAAAACAGTTGTGTTAGGCACTGTAAACCTCTACTGGCAAAGTGAAGCAACTGCAGGGACTGCTCTAATAATAGACCAAATCTTGTACACATTTCTCTGTGCCGGTTCTTTTACCACCAGGTCCTGCTATTCCCCTGATTCTCTTACCCTGACTCCTGATGTGGCCCTAGCAGCTGGTAGAACCCAGAAGCCATTTCTTTCACATGTCAGTGGTGTGCATGTATTCATTCACCATGTTTTGATGTGTTATACACACACTGTTGTGACTCCCGTTAACTTCAAAAGAGTTCTTGCAGGTAGAAATGAGAGGAGTCCTAAGTCCAAAGGGTTCTAGCAGCTGCATTACCTTCATAAATCACAACTGCACCCAAGAGACAAAGCCATTGAAATCTTTAGAAGGGCAATGGAGGGTCTCTCAGACTAGCCCAGAGAGTAACGGCTATTGCGGTAAGAATAACCATTTAAACAATAAAAATGATGGGCCATTGGTGACTATGGTTAAATACTGTGCGCCAAAGAGCACCACATTTATATGATAACCATGCTTCCATGCTTGTATAAAAGCCTGTAGCTCTTTCCTTGGATACTCCTCTTTAAATTTTGCTTGCCTGGTGGGGTTATAAATATAGAAACTTAAGCCTTCGTTTTTTTTCTCCAAACATGTCCCTCCCATTTTAGCATAATCTATGCAGTCCCTCCAGCTGTTCCTATACTTGGTATGCCCTTTTCCCCCCGACCCCTTCTCCTTCCTCCCCCGCCTTGCTCCTTCTCCTCCGGACATTGCAGGCCTAATGGCCAATCAGCTTCTCCAGAAGATCAAATGTCACTATAACATGAGGACTTAATTACCTTGAGAAGTCTGCAGATCCTGCAGCCTGTCCCATTCACCAGGGGGCTCGGCACTTCTCTTGGCTGCCTCCTCTCAGGTAAGAAGGATGTTAGGCAAGCGCTATTTCTGTGAATGAATGGAAAAGGGCAGTAAATTTGGGGACTCAGTCTAAATGGGGGGCACAGGGCATGGAATGACCCTAGCACATGGATCAGATTGAACCTCAGGACTCTTGCACTCAGGTGAAGGCCCCGTGGAGGGAAACAGTTGTATTATTTCTCCATCCTACTCGGAGGTGGATTTGTTGACATTGTTTCAGGCCTGGGAATGTCCATGACGCTCTGGATGGTCTGGGATATAATGGGGATTCATATGGACCATGGAAAAATCCCCACCAAAGCCAAGCCTTGTGAATGAGAACTGTATGACGTGACATCTTCCATGACCTTGAGGTTCCCAGGAATGATAAATTATACAGTACAAAATGTGACCAAATCCCTCTGTATAGCCTGAATGAGCTGAATGTTTAAAGCACTGCCACCAGTTTTGTACCCTGCCTGATGAGGTGGCAGACAGTTTAGACTGTGGGGAAAGGCGTAAATTGGGAAGAAATCCTGTGTCTTGGCCATTTCCAAGAGGGAAGGGCAAGAGGAGGAGCTGGAAAAAGGACGAATAGGCTAGCGGCTTGGATAAGCTAAGTATTAGGTTTTACAGGAGAACCGGGAAGGGATGGAAGGAAAAATGATGTGAGCGAATCAAGAAGACCTCTCCCTTCTTAAAAACAAAGAAAGAGAGAGAGAGAAAGTGTGTGTGTGTGTGTGTGTGTGTGAGAGAGAGAGAGAGAACTAAGATTATTCTGTTATGCCAAGATGTTGTGAGCTCATGAAATATAGCAGGTATCTCTTTGAGATCTGACTGCTGGGTGTGTATTGCTATCTGTTGCTAAGGATGCTTTGAAGTCAAGACAGTCCAGAAATAGACTGCTGGGGGTAAGGGAAGGGTGGTGCAGAAAAAAAAATGTTTTCTTTTGTGGGCTCTCTGCTTTCTGTGCTCGCCTGTAAGAGAATTCCTGCAAAGATGCTCCGACCTGGCCGGGGTTAAGTTATTCAGGTAATCACTTAAAGGGTCCCATGGCTATTTGGGTAAGTTCAAAAGAAACCTTGAGGCCATTTTAGATGCTGTAGAGTGTGAGCTAAGTTTCCAGTGTCCAAGCATAGTGGCCATCTAACTGCCAGTAGCAGATGCCATCTTGCGGATGGTAGCACACAAAGAAAGCATGTGAAATAGCCCTTGATAAAGGAAATCTGTAAAAAACAAAAAAAACAAAAACAAAACAAAAAACCTGTGAGCTCAGGCATAGCCTAAGATGTGTTTTCTCAATGTTCTTGCTTGATGAGTGAAGCTGCTTGATGACCATGAATTCCTCCAGACTCCCCCACACCTCCTCCCTCCTTCTGAGGGCCATGTGGACTGTTATTACACAGATGGCTCTTTGGTGTGTGTTTCTCCTTAAGCAGCAGGACTTTAATTACCTCTGAAAGCTGCAGGGAGGGAGAGTGTCAGAGTGCAGGACACTGAGCACATACTTCATGCACTGGGCTGTAATTGAGGCCAATGGCAAGGCAGTCGCAGCTGAACACAGCTGCATAATGCCCAGCTCTTGGGGTCAGAAGAGGATAGGCTTTGCTGGTACATGTCACTTTTTGCCCCAGTCCAGCAGTGTTGAATCCCAGGGCAAAAATACACCCTAGTACAATCAAAGCACCGTTGGTGATTACAAAGGATTTACAAGCGTTTTGGGGTGGGTAGATGTCCATATGATGAGTGATTAAAAGGGATGGTTTGCCAGGAAAGGGGGGACTGAGATTTTGATTTCTCTTTCTTTTAATTTTTCTTCCTAGCAAATCCTCCCTGGGAATCAAGTGGACTGGATGCCCCGGGAATGCAAATAGCCAGGATTATGGTTGTTTAGGTTATAGGCTCCTAGAGGGCAGGAGCCATAATTTTTGCTCTGTATTTGTACAGCACCTAGCACCATGGGATCCTGGCTCAGGGCGGTGGCTCCTAGGTGCTTCTGCAGTACAAATGGTAAATAATAACAACTGTGTGAGGTTTGGATAGGATGGGGTTTTCACTTTAGTTGTTGGTTTCTGGCACCACATATAGAATAACTTTATCTTCCAAACTAGTGAATAATTTGGAGAGGAAGAATTCCATTGGTAGGAGGGAGAGAAGGGGAAGTTTGTAGGAAATGCATCTGAAACTTTATTAGATGTGTCAGATGTACAGGGGCTCCTGCCAGGACCCTGTGGGTAGCTGCTGCTTGATAGATTGTACCCAGCCATCTTGCCTGACAGCTATTCCTGCCAGGGCTAATCTTTGATGCATGCCCATTTTCTTTCTCCCCCGTTCTCTAATAATCTTACTACCTTGCATCCCTTGTATGGCAGGCCACATCTTGCTAAGAAGAGAGAATGATTGATGGCGGGGTTATTTTCATAGATGGCCTCCAAGGTGGAAGGGTGTGAATTCCATCGATCATCTGGCAGTTGGGTGCATTCTCAGCTGTTAAGACGCTCCCTTGGAAATGGTGACTCTGCTTCTTAAGCCAAGAACAGAACTGATGTGGACCAAATGGAACATATAGTTCAGAGCAAAAGACGCAAACAAGCAGACAATTTACTAGGCAGAATCATGGTCTACTTGGTCCACTTTAATCTGATTAGGGATGGAATACTGACCTTTTTCATTGAACCCAGGACCGTATCTGGTGCATCATTCATACACAGTATAAAATAAATATACTCGCTTAATTCTTCTGCTGGCTGAATGATGAAGGAAGTACAGATATCTTAGAGCTCAGTTTCCTTAGAAAAGAGATATCGGGGCCTAAGAAAATAAAACAGAACCAGTTAAGAAACAATTTGGAATTTAGATTCTTGAAATAAAGGTCTCACCTGACCTCTTGCTTTGATATAATTGGGTTTCAGAAGGCAGACTACAAGTTGGACATGTTTTATTTCTATATGTTTTCTTTCCAAATAATGGGTATTATTACTAATTAATTTTTCATGTGCACAAAGCTCAGGCAAAGATCAGGCCCCATTTTACTGGGCACTCTTCAAACATAAAATAAAAGCTAGTTCCTGCCTCAAGCATCTAACAGCTTGCATATTTAGATTTGTTTGTTTTGTGAGATCTGTGATAATGTTGTCTTCATCAGTAGCCTGATCCAAAGCCAGTTGGAGCCTTTCCATTGACTTCAGAGCCTCAGATTAGGCTTTAGATTAGCTGCAGAAATTATTGCTGTTTATTGTTTGCTTTCTCTCTCTCTCTCTTTCTATTTTGTTGTAAGCGTGGGTTCATTTAGTCACTGTTTTAATTAACAAAGCAACTACCCAGATAAAATCAGGAATACAATAATCCTTCCTCAATATTATGAACACATCAGATGATTACAGTGCTTTGGCTACTATTATTAACAATAGAAGTTTTGTCATTGACTTTAATGGAAACTGAATAAGGCTCTCACTTCTCAATGATTCCTTTGAGATCTATTAAGTGTTCAGTCATGCTGTCCTTTCTTAGGGAAGGCTAGCTTAACTAAAGGGGTTGCCTGGATGAGGGCAGCACTATAAGACTATGAAGTTCCAGCTTATGATGATAAGATTAATGCACTTTATTGAGCATTTGGCCTAAGGGCCATTTTCAAATGTTATGTCCAGGTCCAGTTGGGGGATTTTTAAAATCAATCTGGCCCATTGGTTTGTTCATAGTGTTTGTCATGTTCTTTGTCACTGTCATCATCTAATTTAATTATTTTTTACCTAGTGCTCAGAGATCCCATCAGAATTGAGGCCTCTTTGGGCTAGAAACAGATAAAAATATGCAGACCTTTCCCAGTAGAGCTTGCCATCTAGTCCTATTTCATGGCCTGCTGATATGTGCCTTGCAGAATCCTGTTGGCTGGCACAGCCCTTGGGCTGTCAACAAGTATGGAAGTGTCTAGTACAACACCTGATATGCAATGCCATGGAGGCCAAATGGCAA